TGCTCCCATAATATATAATAAACAATAATAATAATAGTAAATATAATAATCATCATTAAATAATAATGATGATTCCCAAATCAGTATCGTTAAGTCAAAATTTTCAATAAAATATTGTTTTTTTTTTAAAAAAAGAAGAGATTGGTAGGTAAGAGGTGAGAGCATCATGTAATGGAAGTCAAGGATAGAGAGATTTTGAGATAAGAGGGTTTTAGTGGGTAGACTTGTACCCTGAGTTAAGCCCATATTTCCAAAATAGGAAATTTGGGAATTCATCTGAAGGTCTCAGCATCCAACATGATCAAATATCTCTTCCTCTCACATGTTCTCCCTTTTATATTTCCTTTTGCAGTTATAACAGCATTTTAACTTTATTTATGTATTTATTTATTCTCAAGACCAAGCTCTAGCTCACTGCTGTCAAGTCAATTTGGACTCATAGTGGCCCCTATTGGGTTTCTGAGGCTATAAATCTTTACGGAAGTGGATCATCCCCAGGTGATTCCAATGTGCACACAAGTTTAAGAACTACTGACCTAGGGTTGCCTCCCATGTGCTGACTCAACTATAGTGACAATATTGGTTCAGTGAAGCCAGTTAAGCAGAGAGGTGGATACACTTGGCATATAGGATTAATGAGAAAGTAAGAATAATATTTATCCATTCAATGAAGTAAACATAATCATCAGAAATAATACCATATAATATTACCTTACCTCTCTGGGGTTCCCCATTTCTTCTTAGGCCTAGCAAGATTCTGGATTATTTTCCTAGAAAAAGAACTAACAAATAACAACTGATTAATTGAAAGAGACCAAAAAACAAAACCAAACCCACTGCCATCAAGTTAATTCCAACTCATAGCAACTCCCATTGGGTTTTCAAGGCAATAAATTTTTAAGGAAGTAGATTTACCCATCTTCCTTCCACAGAGCAGCTGGCAGGTTTGAACCACCAACTTCCTGTTAGCAGTCAAATGCCTTAGGCACTATGCCACCAGAGCTTCTTAATTGAAAGAGAATGCTCATGCAAATATGGTTATATTAGATGACTCCTACTCAAATCCCATCCAGGCAAAACAAACAATGTGATATGAAGGGTGCTGAAAGTCTCGGAGTAATTAACCATACTGTGGGCCCAAAATCTGCACTCCTAGAATCATTAATATAGCACATAATAAAATCAAGAGAACAAATATCCCATAAAATTAAAAGTATATTCTGTAACAGAAGGCCCTAAGTAAATGCATTTTTGTGAAATGGGAAAATTCCTCAATTAACATATTAATTCACACATAGATGGTTAGGTGACACTGGATTCTGATGAAATTCTACAGATAAATTTCAGACAATGTGTGGCTTTGGAAAAATATAGTGCTTTTGTTAGGTGCTGTTGAGTTAGTTACAACTCCTAGTGACACATGCACAGCAGAACAAAACACGGCCCAGTCCTGCACCATCCTCACAATCCTTGCTGTATTTGAGCCCATTGTTGAAGCCAATGTGTCAGTCCATCTCACTGAAGGTCTTTCTCTTTTTCACTGGCCCTCTACTTTTCCAAGCATGATGTCCTTCTCCAGGGACAGGTCCCGCCTGATAACATGTCCAAAGTACATAAGATGAAGTCTCACCATCCTCAATTCTAAAGAGCATTCTGGCTGGACTTCTTTCAAGGCAGATTAGTTTGTACTCTCATAGTCCATGCTATCTATATTCAGTATCTTCACCAACACTGTAATTCAAATGCATCATTTCTTCTTCAGTCTTCCTCATTCATTGTTCAGTTTTTGCATACATACCCAGCAATTAAAAATACTATAGCTTGGGTCAGGCACACCTTAGTCTTCAAAGTGACATCTTTGTATTCTAACACTGACATCTCTGTGTTCTAACACTTTAAAGAGGTCTTTTGCAGCAGATTTGCCCAATGCAATATGTCATTTGATTTCTGACTGATGCTTCCACAGGCATTGATTGTGGATTGAAGTAGAATGACATCATTGACAACTTCAATATTTTCTGTTTTTCATGATGTTGCTTATTGGTCCAGTTCTGAAGATTTTTATTTCCTTTATGTTGAGATATAATCCATACCGAAGACTGTAGGCTTTGATTTTCATCAGTAAGTACTTAAGCCTTCTTTGCTTTTAGCAAAGTTGTGTCTTCTATATATCGCAAGTTGTTAAGTTGTTAATGAGTTTTCCTCCAATCCTGACACTGCATTCTTCTTTATATAGTCCAGCTTCTTGGATTATTTGCTTAACATACAGATTGAATAAGTATGGTGAAAGTATACAACCGAGATGCATATTTCTTTATTTAAAACTGTAAAGTACTCCTTGTTCTGTTTGAACAACTTTCTATTAGTCTATTATGTACAGGTTCTATAAGAACACAATTAAGTGTTCTGGAATTCAAATTCATTGCACTTTTATCTATAATTTGTTAAGCTCCACCAGTCAAATGCCTTTGCATAGTCAATAATACAAAGGTAAACATCTCTCTGGTATTCTCTGCTTTCACCCAAGATCTGACATCTGCAATGATACCTCGTTTCACAGCATCTTCTGAATCCAGCTTGAATTTCTGGCAGTTTCCAGTCAATGTACTGCTGCAACCATTTTTTAATTACCTTCACCAAAATTTTACTTGCATATGATATTGTCCAATAATTTCTGCATTCTGACAATGTTTCTACAAGCATATTTGCATGTGCTGTAAGAATGTCCAGGTGCATAGTAGAGCAAACAAGGGACAAGGTTGTGCTGGCTTCTTGCCCACAGCCAGCTACCCTGAGGGAGCAAGTTGGTTGGACCTGTGGGCTCAGGTCCATGGTCACAAGGGGCACCAAGCTCAATTGGCATAATATACTACACAAAAACATTGTTCTACATTCTACTTTAGTGAATAGCGACTGGCATCTTAAAAGCTTGTAAGTGGACATCTAGATGAAACGATGGGTCCCTCCTCATCCAAAGCAAAGAAGAATAAAGAAAATCAAAGATACATGGAACCAATTAGTCCAATGGACTGTTAGACCATGTGATCCTCAGTCTGTATGACCATGAGACCAGAAGAAATAGATGGTGCCCAGCTACCACTGTCAACCACTCGGAGGGAGATCTATGCAGGAGATCCTGGATAGAGTGGGAGAACAATGTGGAACAAAACTCAAAATCACTTAAAAAAAAAAAAAAAAAGACCAGTTTTGCTGGTCTGGCAAAGCCTGGTGAGACCCCTGAGATTATAGCCCTTAGTTTCCTTTGAAGTCTGGAACTGAACTCACTCCTGTGGCTTCCAGCCAAACAACAGACAGTCATATGGGGTAAGCATTTACATCAAGTAGATACAATCCTTGGACCAACCAATTGTGGGAGAACAGAAAGCCAGTGTTTGCACAGGGAGACACCTGGGGCAGGGAGCAGGAGTGAACGGGAGGGAAGAACACAGGGAAGAGGTAACTATGGGGAGGAAGTGGGAAGAAAGTTGTTACGTTGTGGGGAATGGCAATCAATGTCATGAAACAAAATGTGTATGAACTGCTGTATGGAAAATGAATTTATTCAGTAAACTTTCAACCAAATCACAATTTAAAGAATTTTTTAAAATAATAATTTCTGCATTCTGTTGGATCACCTTTCTTTGAAATGGGCACAAACATGAATCTCTTCCAGTCGGTTGGTCCGGTAGTTGTCTTCCAAATTTCTTGGCATAGATGAATGAGCACTTTGTGCATTACATCTGTGGTGTAGTAAATTACCTGGTATGGCTTTTCTAGCCATAAGTCTTTGTAAAGTCCACGGTGGAATTTGCTGTGAGCAACTGAGGAGGTCCTGATTGTAAAAGTTATCCGCCTGGGGTATTTCTGTTGGGAGTGGCACAAAGCAATGTTCTGGCAGGTTCGCTCTCTCTCAGGTGTTTAGAATTCTGATGTTACGATTGTCTAGTTTGGCCACTTTGCTAGGCTCAAAAGGAGGCCTCCTAGAGGCAGAACTCTCTCTCTGACTGCTGGTTGAGGAAGACATGCTGCTGAAAGAGACCCACGCGACTGAGAGACACATGCTGCTGGGAAAGAGATGCAAGAGACACGCATTGCTGAGTGAGACACCAAGGGACACGCACTGCTGGGAGAGAGACTGTGAGAGACTGTTGGCTGAGGGACAGTGGGCTGGGAGAGAGACTGAGCATTTCTCCTGAACTTGAATTGTAGCCTGGTGCTTCCCTAATAAATCCCGTAATCTGTGAGTTGTGTGGCTACTACAGCGAATTATCGAACCCAGGAGGGAGGTGGTGGGTGCTTTGAGAAGAATGGTTGGTGAAAAGGCTGGAGGGAGGCAGCATGTCTGGGTTACTGATAGTGACTCTGTCTTCCTCTTACGGGATTAGAGGAGGTCAGGAGATGTGGCCTCCCTGCCTTTTTAGCAACATCCATTTGTTCAAACATCTTAATGGGTATTCTGTAAATTCCTGGAGCCCAGTTTTGCACCAGTTCCTTCAGTGCAGCTTGGACTTCTTCGTTCAATATGATTGGTTTTTGATCATATGCTACCTCCTGACATGGTTGAACATCAACAAATTCTTTTTGGTACAGTTACTCTGTGTATTCCTCCCATCTTCTTCTCATGCTTCCTGTGTCATTCAATTTTTTGCCCAAAGATCATTTAACACTGTAAACTCAAGGCTTGAATTTTTCCTTCAGTTCTTTCAGCTTGAGAAATGCTAAGCATGTTCTTCCCTTTTAGTTTTCATCAGAGTAGTTTCCTTTTTTTCTCCAACCACCCTTTGAAATCTATGTTGTCGTTGTTAAGTGCCGTCAAGTCATTTCCGACTCATAGCGACCCCATGCACAGCAGAACGAAACACTGCCCGATCCCGCGCGAGCCCCACAATCCCTGGTATATTTGAGCCCATCATCGCAGCCACTGTGTCAATCCATCTCGTTGAAGGCCTCCCCCTCTTTCGTCAACCCTCCACCCTACCAAGCATGACATCCTTCTCCAGGGAATGGTCCCTTCT